AACGCTTTCAAAGCTGCTAACATTTTCCTTGAAAGCCCCTCAGAAACCTCTTAGTAAAACTAGAGGTTGGGACTAACAACAACAGAACTTATGTGTTCACATTTAATAATTTGTTATTAACTTTTTTTGACCTGATTTTGCTGTTGGAAGGTCAAAAAAAAGCAAAGTAAGATGCAAAAGTAAAGATAAAGGCGCAAAAAAAGTGTAAAAAGTTTATTTATTTCAGAAATACTCAAGTATTAAAATTAATTCGTGGGTTAATCTTCAAGGTTTCTTCAATTCTGCAAACGGTCATCGTCTTCTTAATGGCTTCTGCATACTACCACACTAAAGAATGGGCATTTCTCGGCGTTACTCATGTTCAGTGGTTTTTTTCTTTTTTGTCATCGCTGTTCGGATCAAAAGCAGCAACAGCATAACCAATGATTGTTTTAATTTCTCGTGCAAAAAAACCAAAAAGATAGGCTTTAAAATGTCAAATTTAGATAGACATTATCAGAAGGCTGAAAATCAGAATAATTGATACGTATGTTACAAAGACGTCTGTCAAATTACAATGTTATAAACTAAAATGTCAGCCACAGTTTCTCTTACTGATTGTGGTTAGACGGTTAAAGTTAGGTTAACCATATGCTGAGCATTTTATGTCAAAATTGTTATATATACGAAACTATATTGATTCTCTGCTGAGTTGTCCACCAGAAACTTTTTACTTGCCCCCTGTACTCCTTTTTTTCACATGATTATCTCTAAACACACACATATTCATTCATTCCTAATATTTCATATAAATGTCTCTAGATATTAGTGTATGCATCTGTCTTTTGCCATATCTTGTTCATTTCAGTTTTATTACTTTATAAACCCCTTGTCACGATATAAAACCTTTTTTTTTAAATGAAAATGAAATAATAAAAGAAAAGAAGACGATAGAAAAGGGAATTGTAAAGTACAGACTTAGAATAGGAATGTACGCTTTTTGACTCCGTCACTACTGTTATCAGTACAGTTTAAATTAAACAAGAAAAAAAAAAAAAAACATGAAAAGAATTTGTAAAAATAAAATTTCAACAGTTGTGAAGAACAACTTTAAACAGTTTATCGCAGTTATTTTGATGCTAAGTGCTACATTTACTTCTTCAAATTATTGTCCCTATTTTTGCTCTTAATGATTTTGACCTCAACCATAAAAAAAACCCGATATCCTACAACCAAAATTATAATGTTCAAATAGCACTTTTTGATGTCCGATATTTTTAGCACTTCACTAGCTTAAAAAAATTTTGACATCACATTTGACTTTCTCATCTTAACTTTTTTTTGCTAAGTTTATTTGGAAATGATACTTTTAACAGTGAAGAATAATAAAGCGTTATTTGATATGCTGCTGGTAGTGGGAGTAATATTAATAATAGTAATAAAAATAAAATAATGACAATCAGAATGAGAAAGGAATTATTATTATTATTATTATTATTATTATTATTATTATTATCAATGATATTATAATAACAGTAATACCAATAACTAATACCCTATTATTATTATTATTGTTCCTATTATTATCATTATACTATCATTTTTTTATTTTTATTTTTGTTTTTATTTTTATTTTTATTTTTGCTCGTTTTTTCATATCCATTTTCATTTTTATTTCCATTTACATTTTCATCTTCATTTTTGATATCATCGCAAGTAAGAAGAAGAAGGAGTATATCAGTGATACTTAGTAATGAAAATAATAGGGAAATGATGATGGGGATGATGATGAAAATGGTGGCGGTAGCAAAGAAAAGGAAAAATAAGAAGTGGAAAAAAACAATTGTGCTTCAAAAGTTTGTAATTTTGTGCTGCAACAAGCAAATTCTAAAAAAAGTAACAACAGCAAGTCATATTCCTAGAAAGTGAGGAGAATAATATATGCATAAAATAGGGAATTCTTGCTAGTCATAAACCCTTAACATTATATCAAAAAGAAAAAAGCTGCTATAACAAATGAAATATTACCAATTTTCCTTCTCTTATGATTTTATCCTTCATTAATTCCTCACAGTTTTCTGCTTTTTCAATGATATATGCGAGCGTTGTAGTCATCACCGCTATCATCACGAACGCTTTAAGAAATATTTGCTTAATGACAATATATATCTGTCAAAGGTTAACGTCGTTTATAGATATAGTGCTTAAAAATTGGAAGAAAGTAAGACCAAATCGGGCGGGATTCAAACAGCGGGAAAATGTTAGGGAAGTTTTTTGAGCTAAAGAACAGTAAATTTTGACAATCTTTTAAGCGTGTTAAGTTAAGCAAGTAGTTAGACGTTGAAAAAAGAGATTTTTTGCTTTTACTCAACGAGGATTGCAAAAGGCGACTAAGGATAAATTTTATTGATCACTTGTCCTGCAGTTTTTCTTTTTTTGTCACTGCTTTTCACAAGCACAATTTGCAAGGAGAAAGCCGTCTTTAAATAATTTTTTTTCAACGCCAAATTGTTTCTATAGATGGGAGCAGTGCATAAACGCCAGGCGATGTATTTATTGATGGGATATAGATGGATGAACAGGGCAAATAGACGGGTGGATGTATGGTAGAATGAATGGATTGGATGGACATATAGATGGATAGATGGGTGTAGTCGATGGAAGTGTATGAATGGTTGTGTTCTGTTCGATCACGATCAAAGCATCCTTTCAACTGCTGGAACCTCCAAGAGCATTACCACCATCATCGTCACTACATCCAGCTAGCTAGCTAAACGATTACGGCTTTGGCCGTGTTAGACAACTTAAGCCCAGCTTGGTTGGGCCTTTTTGCATCGTCACCGCTGCATCAACGACAAACAGCTAACGCCTTTTTATCTGCCATGACAACATCTGCTTCAAGTTTTCACGCTCCAGTATTTCTTTTTTTAGCGTTCTTTTTCTACTTTTTTAAGTTTTTTTCAAAATAGGGTCTACCCACATTGTTTGGTTTTTTAAGAGAATCTGTGTATCAGATGTGATGTCATCCTGGTGGGGCTTTAGATCGAGTAGCTTTTTTTAATTTGTTTTTCCAGGTCTTTTATTTATTTATTTATTTTTTCGCTATTACTATTATTGTTATTATCACTATTATTATTATTATTATTACTATTATTATTATTATTATTGTTATTATTATTATTATTATTATTGTTATTCTTATTATTGTTATTGTTATTATCATTACTATTATCATTATCATTATTATTATCATTATTATTGTTGTTCTTGTTCATTGATGTTTTTTCGAAATAAGAGGGAAACGG